AGGAAAAGAGCAAAATCAACATCAAGATAAAAGCTGCCATTGTCACCTCCCCATGGGTCTCACCCACATCTGTGTCACCCAGTCCACGACCAAAAGACAAGCGCAGCTTCTTCACGTGTCTCTAGGCTCCATGTGCCTCCTCCAGGTCTCCTGGCTCCATCCTGCTTCCTTCCTCAGTCTCTTCTTCTGCTTCTCCTCTTCCTGCTCAGCTCCACCCTCCCTTGGGTGGGGCAGGGAACCTCCCCTTTTCCTGGGGACCACCCTGTTACACTACCAGTACCTCCTGATGATTCAGGCAAAATATTGGAAGTGGGTAGTTGTTGTGGAAAGGGAAAGTGGAATATGAAGCTAGTGTCCTGACTGAAAAATAAGCATCCAGGCTTTCACTCACTGAGGAAATTGGATTTGACTGACCTATTTTGACAAGTAAGAATTTAAGCTGGATTGGTGTGTTGGTGGTAAAGGGTAAAATGCAGAAGTTTCTGTCTAGATATTGATCAAAGGGAATCATACTTCAGTCTTCTTGTTAAGGTTGATGCAATATTACCCTGAAAGCCAGGCAAAGAAACTTGTTTGTGAGATGGGCTCTGTAGGGCAAACTTCCTTTTCATTTGAATTGTTCATGCCTGACAGGAAACATTTTCCTTCCCAGTTTGGCCACATATGCTGTCTAATAAGTGATAATTATCAGAAAAAGCCTTCAAATTAAACAACTACTGCAAAAACCAAAATCAAAAAATCCACAAACATACAGATACAGGAGAAGAGAAATGAACTTTTTCCTCTTAGAGGAAGTAGTGCTGGGGACCTCCCTGGTGGCAAAAGGGGTTAAGTGTCAGCACTATGAAGCAATCTGCAGCTCCTGCAGCACCAGTTTGATCTCTGGCCCCTGGGGGTGGGGGGGATGGGGGGATGGAGGGTGGTGACCCACATGGCACAGCAGACCTCTTCTGACTCAGCCTGCTGCTCCCCTCAGCAGTGTACTTCAGTCAATCCACCTGTTCTGCTCCCCACTTTGTCTCTGGTGAATCCTCTCACTCCCCACACCACCTCAGGCCTACACCCCAGCTCTTGTATGCATAAATAAATAAATCTTAAAAAAAATAGTTTTCGCATTCTTCGGAGAGAGGGGAAATATTTAATTTTTGACACAAACCCTCCCCCACCTCCCATCTCTTTGGAATCTTTATTCTTTCATTATCTTATTATTACTGTCATCTTTTTGTGTATGCTTTCTTAATCTTTTAAATCAAATCCTCCTTCAGTTCAGTGTAGTTCATCTAGCTACAATTACTAAAATCTGTGGGATTTCCTGGAAGGAAAGTTTTATAGTCATTATTGTTATATTGGGATTACAATTTTTCATCTGTGTAGTGAGAAGATTGTTGTTGGGAAAGCAAGAAATTCCAGCTCTAGCCCTGGCACCACCACTTTTACTGTGTGACCTCGGGAAAATCATCCAGCCTCTCTCTGCACCTCAGTTTCCCTATCTGTAAATTAAAGGTGACCACCAATGTTCATGTTTACTTTAAACTTCACATTCTGTGGGTCTATATGAAAAGAAAGTTTAGGTTGAAACAGCCCTTAAGAAGAACAACTTGTTAGAGTGTCTCAAAAGCTCAAACCTTGATTTGCTGACTCAGCAATTTCCTTTCCAAAAATTCCTCATATTGATAAACTTGGACAAAATGATTTATATAAGTTTACTCATTACCTAATAGCTTGTGATAGCTGAAGATTAGAAACAAACCAAAAGTTTACCAGCACCTTCCTGGTCAGTAAATTGACAGATAAATCCATATGGTAAGAAGTTATAAACACCTTTTAATGTTTATTTTTAATTAATTTTTTTAATTTTGAAATTTAAAAAAAATTTAATTTTTAAAGATATTTTTATTTTTATTTTATTTTTTTTTTTTAATAGAGGCATGTTTATTTATTTATTTATTTGTTTGTTTGTTCTGTTTACACATGCACTGGGTACAGTCAGAAGCGCGGGAGGGTGAGAGAATTCACCAGAGCCAGAACAGGGAGCAGAGCAGGCAGAAGAACCGAAGTACACTGCTGAGGGGAGCAGCGGGCGGCAGGAGAGGTCTGCGCGCCATGTGGGACCCTCCTCCGGTGGCCGGGGAGCAGCCGGGGATCGAACCGGCACTGCAGAGGCTGAGGGCAGCTTCGCAACCCAGCGCTCAACCGCTGCGCCACCGGGGAGGCCCTAAGGGAGTTTTCTTACAGACTTTTCTCTAGATCTTGAAATCTTCTGACTATCCTGCCTAATTTTTTCTTTAAAGATCATATTTTGCCTTTCTTAGGTCCTTTTTAAAACTGTATCCTGGGACCTCCCTGGTGGTACAAGGGGTTAAGCACCGTGCTATGAAGCTGTCCGCAGCCTCTGCAGCATGGGTTCGATCCCCAGCCAGCCAGAAAGAAACCCACATGGCAAGGCAGACCTCTTCTGCCTCGCCTGCTGCTCCCCTCAGCAGTGTCTTTCAGTCAATCTGCCTGTTCTGCTCCCCACTCTGTCTCTGGTGAATCCTCTCACCCGCCACACACACCTCTGGCCTGTACCCCAGCTCTTGTATGTATAAATAAATCTTTTTTAAAAATAAAACTGTGTCAGGAAGCAGACACAGAGTACCTGCAGCTTTAGTATCTGACACGTGGTTCAAAAAAATTAAAAATATCTGGGCCTCCCCAGTGGCGCAGCGGTTGAGCGCTGGGTTGCGAAGCTGCCCTCAGCCTCTGCAGTGCCGGTTCGATCCCCGGCTGCTCCCCGGCCACCGGAGGAGGGTCCCACATGGCGCGCAGACCTCCCCTGCCGCCCGCTGCTCCCCTCAGCAGTGTACTTCGGTTCTTCTGCCTGCTCTGCTCCCTGTTCTGGCTCTGGTGAATTCTCTCACCCTCCCGCGCTTCTGACTGTACCCAGTGCATGTGTAAACAGAACAAACAAACAAACAAATAAATAAATAAATAAACATGCCTCTATTAAAAAAAAAAAAAAAAAAAAAAAGAAAACTCCCTTAAACTAAATACTCTCCTCTGATTAAGGCCCTGTAAAACCAGAATTGAAATGAAGGAAAGGCTAAATTTGCAGCTGGCTATCTTTGCCAAGAATGATCACTAGTGCACACCGCCTATTTGTAGGGTGCGACCAGCCATCTAAATGGGGGTTGCCTCTGCGGAGCTTCATTGGAAAGAGTGAGGGAAGGAAAAGTCCTACATTAAGATTTTCTTTTGAACTCATCACCTGGGTGACTGAGGTCCCCTAGCGGCTGGCTGAGGAGGCTCGAACTGCACAAACTTGACAGTAATTGCCAAGAGACTATAAATAGGAGGAGGAGGTCGGGAAGTAACCCCTATCTTCATCCGTCCGGCTCATAACCCTCACTCCTCCAGCCCCCTTAACAACGGGAAATTGAGCTAAATGGACTATGAAGACACAGGGATCTGAACCAGGGTGATGACGGTGTGAACGTAAAGGAAAAATAAATGTAAACCTTTTAAAATATTTGTATAAACAGGCCCAATGTTCTTTAAATGCCACTTTTCCAACTGAAGAAAGGGGATTTTTGTCTGTAAGAAAGGAGATTTTTAAAAAGAATTATGGAGCTCAATTGCGGACAAGATATTAAAAACCTACTGTCAAACTTCCATCTTAAACGATCCCATCCCTCTGAAAGGAAATGCCTTTCATATTCCTCCTAAAAAAGCAAAACAAAATTTGAAAACTGTTTCTTCTGCTCCCTGAGACACAAGAGCCATTGTCTTCCTACCTTTGGCCCCCAACTGATCTCCACAGGACGTCCAGGACCTGCAGCCCAGATGGGGCAAGGTGGGGTGAGGTGGGGGTGGGGGTAGGCTGCCGGACGCAGGGGTCCCCGACTAAAGGAACCTGGGGTTGGGGCAGGGCTGTCTCCTAACATCCATTCGAAACAGCAAAGAAATAACAAGCAAAGCCTCAAACTTAAGTAGGTGTAAGTGATAAAGTGAGAAGATTTTCGCCCAAAGCTCCGCTCTGACTCCCCTCCGCCGGCCCCCGGCCCGCCTCGCAGGCCAGCCGGGCGTCCCGCTCTCGGGTTCTCGGCGGGAGGCGGTGCTCCCGGGGGGCTTGCGGTCTCGGGTGCCTCCGGCTGCGCGGGTGCGCGTGACACAAGGTTATCTCCAGCTCGCGCCAAGCCCCTCCCGGGTCAAGAACCGAGTGAAGCGAGTGCGGGGTGCGGTGTGGCCGGCTAGACGCAAGGGCAGACCCCGAACTGAGGGGCGCGGGCTGGTGGGGTCCGAGCGCGGAGGCTCGGGGACGCGGCCGTGGGGCGGCCTTGACCCCACCCCCCACCCCGGGGCGCGGCGCCAGGGGCTCGTGCCGCCCGCGCGGGGCCGGCGGACTTGACAGATCGTGGGGCGAGAAAACAACACCCAGAAACAAAACCCCCCGACTTCCCCACGGCTCCGTGCAAAGAAACAGTGGGCGGGGGCGAGGGGGCGCGAGTGCGTGGACACCCGCGAGGCCGCCTCCGCCCGCCCGCCCGCCCGCCCGCTCACCCGGCGCCCCGGAGCTCCGAGCGCGGCCCGGGCCCAGCCCCCCGCCCGGCCCGCCTGGGACCCCGAGCGCGGCGCGGGCTGAGCGGGCGGCGCGCCCCTCGGGCTCCCGAGTACTCGGCTCCGCTCCTCCGTAGTAAACAAAGTGCCGCCGCCGCCTCCACGCTGGTTTGCCTCCTAGCAATCAAAACACTGAGGGCGAGAGACTCCCAGAAACACTCGAGAATCACCAGAAAATAATAACACCCCAGAAAAGAGCGAGCGAGCGCGCGAGTGTGTGAGAGAGAAAAACACCCCGCTACCCCACCAGCCCGCCGCCGCCTCCCCGTGGAAACCGGCCCCGCCCACGCCGCCGTCCACTGGCTGCCGGGGCGGCGGGGCCGCGCGCTCATAGGCCGCGCGGGCTGTCAGTCAGGGGCGGGCCGGCGCGCGCGCCGCCGCGGGCGGGGGGCGGCGGCAGATCCCGTAAGTCGGGCAGCAGCGTAGTCGCTGCAGCCGCAGCCGCCGCCACATTCAACAGGCAGCAGCGCCGCCGTCGCGCCGCCCGAGCGAGCGAGCGAGCGGCCCGCGGCGCGTCCAGCCCCTGTCCGCCGGCCCTGTCAGCGGGAGCGCGGCGCCGGCGCGGCCGGCCCGGCGTCTCTGGCTCGCCGTCCAGCCCGGGCAGCGGCCCCCGAGGAGCCTGGATGGTGACGGACCCGCGAAGTTAAGTTCTGGGCTCGCGCCGCGCCGCCTCCGGCTTCCGCCCGCCCGCCCGCCCGCCCGCGGCGCCGGCCCCGCCGGCCCGAATCTCGGACGCGCCCCTCGAGCCCCTGCCCCTGGACGCCCCGCGCCGCGCGCGGCCCCTTCTCGGCTCTCCGCGACTGGGGGAGGGGCGGGGGTCACCATGGCCGAAGCGCCCCAGGTGGTGGAGATCGACCCGGACTTCGAGCCGCTGCCCCGGCCGCGCTCGTGCACCTGGCCGCTGCCCAGGCCGGAGTTCAGCCAGTCCAACTCGGCCACCTCCAGCCCGGCGCCGTCGGGCGGCGCGGCCGGGAACCCCGACGCGGCGGCGGGCCTGCCCTCGGCGTCGGCGGCCGCTGTCAGCCCCGACTTCATGAGCAACCTGAGCCTGCTGGAGGAGAGCGGGGACTTCCCGCAGGCGCCCGGCTCCGTGGCGGCGGCCGCGGCGGCGGCGGCCGTGGCCGCGGCGGCCGCGGCCGCTGCCGCCGCCACCGGGGGGCTGTGCGGGGACTTCCAGGGCCCCGAGGCGGGCTGCCTGCACCCCGCGCCGCCGCAGCCCCCGCCGCCCGGGCCGCTGTCGCAGCACCCGCCCGTGCCCCCCGCCGCCGGCGGGCCGCTCGCGGGGCAGCCGCGCAAGAGCAGCTCGTCCCGTCGCAACGCGTGGGGCAACTTGTCCTACGCCGACCTCATCACCAAGGCCATCGAGAGCTCGGCCGAGAAGCGCCTCACGCTGTCGCAGATCTACGAGTGGATGGTCAAGAGCGTGCCCTACTTCAAGGATAAGGGCGACAGCAACAGCTCGGCGGGCTGGAAGGTGAGTGGCCGCGGGTCGCGGGGGACCCCCGCCTCCGTGTGTGGCGGCCGCGGGGCAGGTGAGGGGGCGCGTCTGCAAGTCCGCCGGGCCTGGCAGCGCGGGGCGCGCGGCGGCGCGGGGCTCCGGGGGCGGCGGGCTGGCGGCCGCTCGGGCGCGGAGGAGGCGTGTGCGCGCCGGCCCGGCGGGAGGGCGAGGCGGAGTGGGACGGGGACGGGGAAGGGGCTCGCCCGGGCACCCCGGGGGGGCGAGGGGTACGCCCAGAAGTGGACTTCGGAGGGGCGGAAAAGTTTGCCGGTGGAAGGAGAAAGGCGTCCGCGGGCATCTGCACCCCCGGCAGCCCGCCGGACTCCTGCCCCTGCGCCTTTTCCCCCCGGACCTCCGGGGTGAGGGCGGCTCCTCCCCGCCCCCACGGCGCGCCTCCCCCTCCCCCCCCAGCCCTGGGCCTCGCCGCGGAGCGGTTTCCGCCGCGCTGGGCGGGGGAGGCTCCCGGGGGCCCGGGCTGCAGGTGGCGGGGACGGGCCGGCCGGTGTGCGCCTGGCCGCGCGGTGCTTGGAGCCCGGTGTGCACTTTGATTTGGTTTTACCCAAAGTGCCCTCGAGAGCGTGGGGCCCGGGCGCGCGGAGCCCAGGGTGGCTCAGCGCATCCTACACGTGCGACGGGGCGGCCACCTCTCGCCGAGCGCCGGCGCCTGGCCGCGCGGGGCGAGCAAAAGTTCAAGTGTGACCCTCGGCGGGGGCGGGGGCGGGGGCGGGGGCCGGCGGCGCGGGAGGGGCCGCGCGCAGGAAGCCGGCGCTTTTAAAGGGCCAGCGCGGCCCGGCCGAGCCCGCGCGTGCCCGCGCGTGGACATGCCCCCCGGCAGCTTCTCCCTGGGGCCAGGGCGCTGCATGAGGCGCGGAGGGGTTTTTCTGGACCAGAACGAGGGACGTGTCTACCTTCTCTTGCTTTGCCACCTTGGTGTTAATTTGCGGGGAGGTACAAATCCCGGGGAGCTTTGTGACAACTGTTTGGGGGAGTCGAAATGGAGGTGCTCCACAGAACGGGCAGGGAAGGAGGACAGAGCAGGAGATGCCTCAGGCCATTTTTACCAAAGAGGGGGTGAGCGATGGAGACCGGGACTCACGTGGAGGACGGGCACATCCCTGCCCTAAAGGACAGAATGGGGGAGGTTTACCGGGGATCCTTTCGGGGATCCGTTTGCCTGTGGCTTCCTGACGCTGGCAGTTTCTTACTGTTACTCGTGGACGAATTGATGTGAAGGTTCTGTCGTTGAGCTGAACTCCTTCCTCATCGCTCATCAGACAGTCCAGCCTAATGAAGATTGGTGTTTGCCGCGCAGTTGTTACACCAAGGTTGTTTTACACACATTGTCATCCCTGTGGTTAATGTGTCGCAGAAAGGTCAAGTTACTGACTTTATTTGAAGTTCCTGGAGAAGGAGCCAGGGTTTTAGTTTTTCCAAAGTGTGTTTTAGAGAAGAGCTGTATCACTTATAACCTCATTGCTAGCATTACGTGCAATTTTACCAACTTACTCAAAAAGATGTGTCTCCTTAAACTTATGGAGTATATAATTTCAAGTAACAAAATCGGGATTTTCTGTCAAGTTAAATTTTACTTAATATTTGAATTTAAGTATTTAACTTACTTGATATTTGTCAGCCCTGTGTAAGTATTATAAAGTAATAATTAAAAACTCCCTCCCCTTTTTTTTGGCATTCAGAGTACAGAGTACCATTCTTTAAGTCCTTAGGCATGGATGCAACTTAACCTTGCTGGAGTCCCTTTATTTAAAAATAGAAAAAGACGATGTTTGGGGATTTCAATTTTGCCTCATTTCCCTGATTAAATGACTGTAGAGAGTTCTTCTTACACTAGTAATATAACTTAAGCTTTTAAGATTTAGTGCCTTTAAAAAATTTCTACAACCAAATAAGCCCCCCTCATTATTTTTATTAGATTCTCGGTCTATTTTTCCCCCCACATGTAACTATGATTTTATAAAAAAAAAAAAAAAAAAAAAAAGTTTTTTTTTTTTTTTTTTTAAACCAGAACTTGACTACCTACTCAATGTTACTAAGGGTTGTCTGTCTAGAATTGGAGTCCTAGTGGAAAACCTAGTGGGATTTTAAGAGGGAGCAGGTTGCCATTTCAATTAAGTAAATGTTTCAGGTGTAACCAGTCAGTTGGTGCAAGTCAGATTACAGCAAGTGCTTTTTCACTTTGAGTAAAAGGGTATTTTAGGAAGAAAAGAAACAACTTGAAGTATTCTAACTCATTACTAGTCTACTGGTTAGAGTTTTCTTAAAAATGAGTTACTTGTTAAAACCAAGGTATCTGAAAGACTTTCCTGTTTTTAAGATAAGATTGATAAAAAATGAATTTTACTATACCTTAAAATCTAATTCTAAAATACAGGTCAATCAAAGCTTAACTGCTAGGACAGAGTAGAGGTTGCTTTGGAACTAAATATTTCCTGTGATTTACTGGTTGGAATTAGACTGAATCTGTAGTAGAATATAGTTTCTTGTGCTTTACTTCCTGGGGCCTGTTTGGGAATTTGAAAGTCATTTGCAAAATGACAAAATAGTTGTAAAGATGTTAGTTCACAATTTTAATATTGGCTAGAATTTTCTGAAGGTCACCACCCATAAAGTGGAAGCACAGAATTTTGGAAAACCCGGGATCTTTTAAATCATGTACAGTATTTATAAATAGTGAAACTTAACTTCCATGGTCTATTTTCTCACATACAAAACTTTCTAAAGCTCGTCAAGCAGTGTTCTGAGCTCTGATTTTTTTTTTTTTTTTAAAATGGCAGTTTTGAGTTGACTCTTGTCTTTTATTTTGGTATTATTTGGAACTTAATTTAGGTTAAAAGAATGCTTCAAAAATAAGACAGTACTTGTTAAAGAAATTTCATTATGGGCATGTTCTTTATTTTGGAATGAAGTGTCTTTGATTTATGAAATGACAGGAATTTTAAGATATCAGAAAATGCACTATCTACTATATACTTTTGAGTTTTTAATCTGCAGATGGGTAATTAACTAGCCACGGAGATTCCAGGTAGGAAGATGGCTGCTTTCTTGCTCCACAGTCACATTTGACTTAATCCTGGTGAGGCTGACTTCTGGGTTGTTACTGAAATTACCTTAAAGTAAATGTTTTATAAAGTTGGGTGACAATTTCAGTTATGTATTTAGGGAAGGGAGCAGGAGGAAAGAGAATTAAAAAGCAGGCGAGGGGACTATGCAGCCAAGTTTGGTATCTTACTTGCAAAAGGCTGAAAGTTGTATGCAGCTGATGTGACCATCTTTGAGATATTTTGTTCAGAAATTCCAAAGGAGATGTTGAATATGAATACCTTAACTAAAACTCATAATAACTTTATATTATCTACGGTTTTATAGCATTTCTCTTGGGGAAGGTTTGGCAGAAAGGATGGCTATTTTCCAGTGATACTGAGCATTTTTTTTAAGTAGCAAATATTCGAATGCTGGAAAAGACATTTTTCTCATTAACTTTGAAAAAGATAAAAGTTTATTGAGACATTTTGCACCCCTCCCCCCTTTGCTGTTGCTAGTGGATGCAAATAACATTAGAGATCATAAACTACATAGTATTCTAAGTGGACTTATGAAATGGGAATGAGGGGGAAGAATACTCAGTGGTTAATTGCAATCTTAATAAGCTAGATGTGCTTTGCTTGTCTTTGTGCTCTAGCTTCCTCCAAGCACCTAAACTGCAGATTCTGTTTTAGACTTTCTAAGAGAGCAGCTGTTTGTATTGGTCTGGAATTTCTTCTGGAAGCCTGAACTATTTGCATTTTTCTGGAACACTCTGCCCTTGGAAACTACCCAGTACCCTGGCATCATGGGAATTCACTTGGCCAGTTTTTTTTTTTTTTTTCCTGGTCTATGTGTGCTGTAACTTTGGGGCTTCCTGGAATCCTCTTGAAAAGGCATTGAGGAACCCCCCTCCATAGTGACTGGAGAGACCAAACGGAGTTTGCAATTGTAAGGATCATGAGTCAAGAGGAGAGGGTATAGAGTAGATTCAGTCCTGTTTTCCTGCAGTTCAAAATTTGCCTTGGCCTTCATAGTAACAACTTGCAGAGACTTGCCCAAAGCCCCTCCCCCTCTCTATACCTCCCCAGGGTCAGATAACCACCTTTTCTCCAAGCACACAAAATTATGAAGTTGGTGTAGTTGTTTCTCAGTTTTGAAACAGAGAACCAGGTGAACTTGAAAAAAATGTTTATTTTGGTGCTTACCAGGGTGAAGGCTTGCATTGCAATGGATATGCAGTATACTAATATACTAAAGTCTGTAGTAATTCTCCCTTTTTGCTAATTCCAGATAGGTGCTAACAAAACTAAGTCAGTGGCACAGAACTTCTTTGCAGAGAATTTTTATTATTTTTTAAAGATTTATTTATTTATGCATACAAGAACCGGGGTACAGGCCAGAGGTGTGTGTGTGGGGGCGGTGAGAGGATTCACCAGACACAGAGCGGGGAACAGAACGGGCAGATGGACTGAAATACACTGCTGAGGGGAGCAGCGGGTGAGTCAGGAGAGGTCTGCTGTGCCATGTGGGTAGCTCCCTGGCTGGGATTGAACTCTCAGTTGCTGCGGATAACCCTTGCCACCAGGGAGACCCCAGCAGAGAATTATTAAGTATCTCTTATTTGTGGTCTTCAAGGAGCACATGAAACTACATTTCTATATATTGTCAATATCTTTTTTTTTTTTTTTTTTAAGATTTATTTATTTATTTATTTATTTAATTTATTTGTGCAAGCACTGGGTACAGTCAGAAGCACGGGAGGGTGAGAGAATTCACCAGAGCCAGAGGGGGAAGCAGAACAGGCAGAATGACCGAAGTACACTGCTGAGGGAAGCAGCGGGCGGCAGGAGAGGTCTGCGGGCCATGTGGGACCCTCCTCCGGTGGCCGGGGAGCAGCCGGGGATTGAACCTGCGCTGCAGAGGCTGCGGGCAGC